GGTGGTGGGGCTTCCCCTTTTTAGTTGAAAGCTGAACATAAAACCTTGATCAGAGAACTTTGTCTTGGCTTCATCTCTTCTGGTCCTCCATCCTCCTTTTGTTCCCAGCCCCCTTTCAGGAGAACCCAGTGGACCCTAACTAGAGTTGACAGTGTTTGTGAGCCTGTGTCATCACAAGACTAATAATTCTTCTTATACACTGAGCCATCTGACTAGTTCCAGAAATTTAGTATGTTTAAGGAGTACAATTTTATATACTAAATATATAACACGGAGAGGTGCTAAAGTTAGAGAATTCTTGAACCTGCTTCAGATTTGATAGGATGTTTATAATTTGGACAATTATTTAATTTCAGTGGATCATATAAACCAAAGTGCTGATAGCATTACTGATTTCACCGAAACACTATGAGGATCTAATGAGATTACATGTGATGAACTTTCATAGTATGCTAAATAAATACGCTATAACCATAATGCACTGTACCTGGACTAGTTCATCTCAAAAATGTCAACTACTTTTCAATCACAAATCTTGGTACATGAATACTAATTTATATGCCTTCAATTAAGCAATGAAAAGAAATAACTGAAACATCTTCCTTGCTTCTTTTTAATTACAGTTGCATGTCTCTTGGATCTGTAACTGAACTGAAAGCTTCTTCCAGGAGGACTAGTGTTCATGGGACCAGTAGACATGGAATTTACAAAGCAGGGAATCAATCAACTGTCTTGCCCAGGTATGGGAACCATGAACAACAATGACCAGTGTGGCATGGCAACTCTGTGGATGCAGTAGCAGAGTGTATCTCTTTGTGATAACTAATTCTATAATCAGACTTCAAGCCCACTCAACAAAAGGGAAATCATGTCTGATGCTGGAAAACTAGCCAACTACAGTTTTCTCCCAGAGACTAAAGAATACCATGACCTAAAGAACAAATTAAACAGCATGTGTTTTTTTTTAAAGTTCATTCTACATAAAAATTTAATATCAAATGTTTGTTTTTCTCCCAGGTTCTATTCCTTAGATTTATCATGTAATTTGACAAATGTTTATTCATTAAGCAATTGTGAGCAGTGGGTTCTGGAAAATGAACTCTGATTCTGCAAGAGCAGCACATGTTCTTAACCACTGAGCCATCCACCCAGAACCTCAAATTTATCTCCCATGCTCCATTATTGAACACTAATTTCTATATGTTCAGTTTTCCAGTTTCAATTATTTTCTGCACAAGAATATTAGTTATAGATATAAGAAAACTACCCACTATAACAAAGATCAGATCGAAAGATCAGAAGAGTGTTCATTAAAGTTATAGGAAAATGGAAGACAACATGTACCTAATGGCAAACTAAATATAAAATATCAAAATATACTTTCCTAAATTTCATTTGGGACAACAAAAGAGAAAAATTAGGCTTAAGATTGAGCAAATATCAATAATGATCATAAAGTCTTATACCTATATTATTTTAAACTAGGGTATATTCATTAGAGATAGCCATTAGTTTCACACAGAAGTTTTCATTTTTATGAATCATATATAAACCCATCTTTCCATAATCATAATCAAGTTGGTATTAAGAATGTATAGGTGAGCTTTTAATATGGCTGTCAATAAAAATGATAACTATTCCTATAACTATTATAATACCATCCACAAGTAGAAGTTGTCCTGCAATATCTTGTGTATTGTCAAGCATATGATCTAAAATATTCAAAAAATATAAAAACAATTAACTGAAAATGAAGTATATATAATGGATATTCTGTTTCAGTGAAATCAGGCATGAAATTTCAAATAGTTTTGAAACCACAAGTCATAATGTATTTGAACACTGACTATCAAGATATGAAAGAATAAAAGTTTAAAACATATTATTAAATTAAAAGTAATTAGTTTTAACAGAAAATATAGCCTTGTGAATAATTATGATTCAAATTTAATATCTAGCAAGAAACAATTAAAGTAAACTGGTTATTTAAGACAATATTTCTGATATTCATGTCCATGTTCAAAATTATTCAATGTTCAGACATTTGTTTATAAATATTAACAAAGTCCTAATTTTTTGGATGTTTTATTTCCATTTCAGATGTTATCCGCTTACCCTATTTCTCCCCCCTCCCCTGACCAGGAACCCCCTATCCCATCCTCCCTCCTCCTGCTTCTATGAGAATGTGCCCCCAACTACCCCCCACTCCCACCTACCCACCCTCAAATTCCCCCACTCTTGGTGTCCAGCCTTCATGGGACCAAGGATCTCCTCTCCCACCTATGCCCAACAAGGCCATCCTCCCCTACATGTACAGCTGGAGCCATGAGTCCCTCCCTATGTGCTCCCAAGCTGGTGGGCAAGATTCTGGGAGCTCTGGTTGGTTGGTATTGTTAATCTCCTCATGGGGCTGCAAACCCTTTAAGCTTCTTCGGTCTTCTCTCTAAGTCTTCCATTGGGAACCCCTTGTTCTGTTCAATGGTTAGCTGTGAGCATCCACCTCTGAATATGTCACATTCTTCCAAGACTTTTACCATGAAGGGGTCTTGAATTTTGTCAAATGCTTTCTCAGCATCTAGTGATATGATCATGTGTTTTTTTTTCTTTGAGTTTGGTTACATAATGGATTACATTGATGGATTTCCATATATTGAACCATCACTGCATTCCTGGGATAAAGCCCACTTGACCATGATGGATGATTGTTTTGATGTGTTCTTGGATTCAGTTTGCAAGAATTTTATTGAGTATTTTTGCATCAATATTCATAAGGGAAATTGGTCTGAAGTTCTCTTTTTTGTGTCTTTTTGTGGTTTAGATATGAGCACAATTGTGGCTTCATAGAACAAATTGGGTAGTGTTCCTTCTGTTTCTATTTTCTGGAATAGTTTAAAGAGAATTAGTATTAGGTCTTTCTTGAAAGTGTGATAGCATTCTGCACTAAAACCATCTGGTCCTTGGCTTTTTTTTTTGTGGTGGGGAGACTTTTAATGACTGCTATTTCTTTAGGAGTTATGGGACTGTTTAGATGGTTTGTCTTCTCCTGATTTAACTTTGGTACCTGATATCTGTCTAGAAAACTGTCCATTTACTCCAGATTTTCCAGTTTTGTTAAATATAGGCTATTGTAGTAAGATCTGATGATTTTTTGAATTTCCCTAATTTCTGTTGCTATATCTCCCTTTTCAGTTCTGATTTTATTAATTTTGAAACTGTCTCTGTGCCCTCTGGTTAGTCTGGCTAAGAGTTTATCTGACTTGTTGATTTTCTCAAAGAACCAGATCCTGGTTTTGTTGATTCTTTGTATAGTTCTTTTTGTTTCTACTTGGTTGATTTCAGCCCTGTGTATGATTATTTCCAGGCATTGGATGTATTTGCTTCTTTTTGTTCTTGATATTTTATGTGTGTTGTCAAGCTGCTAGTTTATGCTCTCTCCAGCTTTTTATTTATTTAATTTTTTGTAGTCATTTAAGAGCAATAAGTTTTCCTCTTAGCACTGCTTTCATTGTGTCCCATAAGTTATGGTATGATGTGCCTTAATTTTCATTAAATTCTAAAAAGTCTTTAATTTCTTCCTTGACTAAGTTATCATTGATTAAAGCATTGTTCAGTTTAAACATGTATGTGGGCTTTCCATTTTTTTTTTGTTATTATTGAAGACTAGCCTTAGTTCATGGTGATCTCATATGATGTAAGGGATTATTTCAATCTTTTTGTATCTTTTGAGGCCTGTTTTGTGACCAATCATATGGTCTATTTCTGAGAAGGTACCATGAGATGATGAGAAGAAGGTATATTCCTTTGTTTTAGGAAGAAATGTTCTATAGATATCTTTTAAATCCATTTGGTTCATAACTTTTGTTAGTTTTACTGTGTCTCTGTCTAGTTTTTGTTTCCATGATCTGTCCGTTGCTGAGAGTGGGGTGTTGAAGTCCCCTGCTATTATTGTGTGAGGTACAATGTGTGCTTTGAGCTTTAGTAAGGTTTTTTTTTATGAATGTGGGTCCCCTTGCATTTGGAGCATAGATATTCAGAATTGAGAGTTCACCTTGGTAGATTTTTTTCTTTGACGAGTATGAAGTGTCCTTTCTTATCTTTTTTGATTACTTTTAGTTGAAAGGAGATTTTATTTGATATTAGAATGGCTACTCCAGCTTGCTTCTTGATAACATTTGCTTATAAAATTGTTTTTCAGCCTTTTACTCTGAGGTAGTGTCTATCTTTGTCACTTAGGTGTGTTTTCTGTATGCAGCAAAATGCTGGGTCCTCTTTATGTATCCAGTCCATTAGTCTATTTTTTTTATTGTGGAATTGAGTCCATTGATGTTAAGAGATTTTAAGGAAAAGTGATTATTGCTTCATTTTTTTTTGTTATTAGAGGTTGAATTATGTTTGTGTGGCTATCTTTTTTTGGGGTTGTTGAAAGATTACTTTCTTGCTTTTTCTAGTAAACCATGTGTTAGTATAAATATTACATAACATATTGAGAAGGAATTGTAGAAGTACACTAGATTTGCAAATATATTAATATGCAGCAAGGTAAATATGCATAACTTAATCATCTCATTGCAGTAATTAACCATGGAAGTTATAACTTACAAATTGGCTTTCAATTTTCACTGAGAAATTTTTTGTCTTTATTGCTAGATTGTCAGAGTCTGAAACATCCTTTTTCTGACTGCATTTGTTGAATTATTGCTAATTTACATTGATATGGGGTATGATTCATTGCAGGTAGACATGAAGACAGACACAGGGACACATGTACACACATATGTACATATATAAACCTTTTGTCTTATAAATTTCTTCTGTATTTCTTTCTGAACTGTACTTTTTTTCATAACTTTCTAAACCTGGCTTGTCATGAACTGTATACTATATATTAGAAAATTCTTGAATACAGTGGATGAAATGGTGGGAACCCTGCAGTTCTGTTTGTAATTCAGCTGGAAATGAGAATGATTTGCAGTTCTGGATCTTGTGAGTGACATCTGGGGTCAGGGCCTTCCTGTGGTCTAAACCCTTACGCCTGTGTAATTGGACACAAGTTCTAAATAATTAATGTCCAAACTGAACTGCATAGTTAGGTAATCAAACAGTATCCAGGGATTTAAACAATCAGAAACTTTGAGGGAATTCTCACATATATGTTTTCAAGTATAGTAAATATAATATCAATTCACATAGCAAAGAAATCATTGCCATTTACTAAATTATGAAGTTTGATGCAGCATTTTCTTCTAATATTTGGACCAGAGTTCAGTTAAGTTCAACTGCTATTTTTTGTTTCCTGTATATTGATTTAACTTTCACTTATGCTATAAAATAAAGACCTATCTTCATTTCCTGACTATGGGTAGTGTGAGAATATACAGTGTGTCAACAGAGTCCTTTCTTTTGTAAATGTGTTTTACTTCCTTACAAGGTATCCTTTGAACACTTGTGAAAACTTATTTCTATAATGTTTTTTGATATCACTGTGTCTTCTAAAGTGAGTAAAGAAACTCACTTTAGAGATGGAAGCTTAAAAATGAAAGTTTTATTTTCTGAGCACTCAGGGAGGCTACCAGTTCCAGATCTGAACTGAATTCTCGAAAGGAGATTGTATAACATTTTTATAGAATGGAAACACAGAGAGAGGTGGGAAGTGTAAATTTGTTATCCAATTATATTTTGCCATTATGGGTTAAACAAGCAAGTACTCCTTGGAGAGGCATAAGGTACAAGCCTGTTGAAGCAACAAGACACAACACTTCAATCTCTTTTACTCTCTTCTATGCTTGTAATATATAAATACTGGAATCGACTTATATCACATAGGTTATATGACATAGATTTCTATCACTAAAAACCTCACATGAAATAATCACTGTTGTAAATAGTTAATTAGGAAAAGCTAGACATTATATCTCTTTCATTCTTACCTTTATATTATCAAGGCAACAACATACACACCGAAAATACTTTTTCCGTTACTCTCTACCAAACTGGAAATGACTTTCTTCATACTTTACTTCTTTTAGTGGTTAACATAAGCTGGGAGATAACATTTATAAAATCTTGAGTATATTTTCTTTTTGCTAAGTGAATAGTCAAGATATTGCTTTAGTGAAGCCATTCATATTCAGATATATTACATTATAAGAATTAATGGGTCACTTCACTATTTGCAGTAAAAGACAAGGTGAGACTCCTTACTTGAGGTACTTTGCAATAAGTCTTAGTCATTATATATACTGGCAAGTGCACTTTGTTGGCTCAGGGACAACAAAGTAGTCCTGTAGCTGCTCTTTGGCACGTGTATTATTTGTGTAGAGATTTGGTATCCTCCGAGCAGTAACAGAATTGTGTAACTCCTGCTATATAATGGGCTTCTCTATCACTCCCAGAATCTAACTCAACAGTGAGAAGATTTGGTCAGCTTTTACAATTACCATGTTTTTCTTCCTGAACCTCTTTAGTTTTATGTTGGCTCCAAATCCAGGGTCAGCCACAGATATAAATGAAAACTATCCTCCATTTTGGGATCAGGTCAGTGGAAATATAGAAGATTTTCCAGTTGAAAATAACAAGACCATCATTAATATCTTGAGTTATATGGATCTACTGCAGTTATATAAGATTCTTATAACACAAACTAACAAATATTTTGTGCAGTTTGGATCAAATTATACAGGGAATGTACCCTGGGCTCTCACCTTAACTTATGGAAAGCTATATACAACAGGTATGTACATTTTCATACTTTCTGAGGAAGTCTTTGTTGTCACTATTAAGATTTTTAAATGTGTTTAAGTGTTATTGCTATTAAAACCATTTCTCTACAGGATCAACAACTTCCTATGGTTCAGTGAATAAAATCACTGAGCAATACGACATAGCATACTTGTCTTTTCATTACATAAACTATCCACTTCTAGTATAGCTTTTCATCTAAATCACTGTCTCACACAGGTATACAGTATAGAGAAGAAAAATCCATTCTAGATTAGGAACCTCTGACCCCTTGTTCCAGCCCAACAGTCTTCTTGGAGAAATTGGTAGTACAAGTACTTCTGTCTCGTGACTTATGTTTAACACAGACAAAGATACAAAACATCCCTTTACTGAGAAATCAAAGTGAAATGTCATACAAAATAAGACCAAGTATATACTTTTCCTTAAATGCCTAGATTTTGCCTTATGCTAATAGGAAGAAAATCTAAGACAAGATATTAGAAAGAAAAGTATAGACAACATGACTGAACTACTCATTCTTTACACTGAAACAACAAAGATAGGGTAATCAATTAGAGAGAATAGGCTATCGCAGAAACTATGTTTCTGGAATGTTCTTTTCTTCTTTCTCCTCCTTAGTTGTATTTTTCTATGCAATGCACATATTCTAAAGTCTTTCAGTCAGTTTTATTACCACAGAGGCTTTCTACATTTAGCTTTCCCAATTCATGATATTCTTTGCCAACCTGTCTTGCTTGGCTGTGAATAGAATCAGGCCATGCACAGAATGGAGCAATACCAGAATGTCACATTTTGCTGCAGAACGGTGGTTTCTTTTCATTACAGTTACTTTTAAAAAGCACTCAGCCAATTTGGGAAGAATGACTTGGCTCTCAGAGGCAGCATGGAAACTGTAAGCTTCTGCTGGTTCAGCTCAGTCAACAAGGATTTTTCAGATGAGTCTCTGACTGCTGTCCAACTCTTAAAGCCTCTGGAAGCAGATGGAATGTCTTGTCCAGCCTTTACCAGCAAAGACTCGACCTTCCTACATTTGCTTTTTTCTTCTGCTCTTTCTTACCAGTCTCTATTATAAGCCCAAACATTATGCTAGACATATTTTATATTTACTCATGTTTTCTCTGCAGGTAGATTTTCAGACCCTTCCAAGATTTCTGCGAGTGCTTATAATTCTCAACATTCTGGGTTGCTATTATCTAAGAATGGCTGGTTTGGTAAGTGTTCCGTTTGCCCTACATATCTTAACTGATCTGAAGACATGATGCTTGCTTTGACATGGTGTGGGGTTGCTTAGCTGAGGTAAACATTGTCATTTCCTTGGTGAATATACACATTTTTTCTCCATTTTCCTTGGCCACAAATCAAGTATAGAAAACATATAATAGGATAACTCTTACTGTAGCCTTTGCTGAATTATGATACACAGTGCATTATTGCCTTAAGTGTTAAAAATGATAAATTTCTACTTATGTCCTCACGATTTGAGATTCTTTGGTTATTTTACACCCTTTCATCTATATTTCTATTAACTACTGTCTCTTCTATTTGTACTTCTAGTCTATAGCCTTGATTAAACACTTCAGAGACATCCTTCAATTCCATCTTAACCACACCATCAGCATTTACGTAGCTCAGCTAAAGAAATATTGAAAGCTATTTAAAAACTTCTTCCTTCGTCTGTTTCCAAATACTTTTTATTATATACTGATTCCTAAACTCTTCTTCTGTAAAACACTGATTTTGCCACAGAATAAACAAAATGATTGCTTGTGAGCTCACATTGACATCAGCTTGGTTATTTGAGGCCTTACAGAAGAATAGCCTTATAGTATGGTCCAAAAGACCTCAATGGCTACCAGAGACCTGTTCACATAAATTGCACTGAAGTTGAAATTTGAAGGTGGATCACGGGGTCGCTTATTTTATGCTCCCCTGAGCTGGGGCTGCGCTCCTTTAATTGGAGACTCCGAGTTGGGTCTATTTCTGGTGTTGGCACAGTTCCAAGAAGGCCCAGCTTCTCTCTGTGCTGCCCCGTACATAGAGGAGACTGGGCGAGTCGGGCTCAAAGTCCAGCCAGGCCCTGGCCTCCAAGCAGGGAAAGGATGGGAATGAGAAGCGAGACCGGGTTAGGCCTCGCAAGCAGCCTCGAAGGAGCCCAGTGAAGTGCCAACTCCAAAGAGACCTCAGGGCCAACCAAAGGGAAGCAAGAATAAGGGTGCCACCAAGACCCAGAAAGCCACTACAACTCCGGGGAGGCATCAAGGGGCAGACCCAAGAAACTGGAGAAAGAGGAAGGGGAGGGCATCACGCAGGAGTCCTCGGAGGAGGAGCAGTGACCACTCCGCAGTGACCACTCTGCTCCTTAGCCACTGAGGAGCAGCTTTCTTTCCCCTGGGACTGGAAGCCCGGCTCCCCAGCCCCTCCCCGTTCCCACTGCACACTACCGCACCAGGCACCAGATGCAGGCTCTGCTCGACGGTACCCACGGGAGCAGGATGTGGCTCAGTCCCCGTGCCCTCCTCCCCAACACACCTGCCCACCCCTGACAAGGCTAACTTCTCATTTAGCAGCAGCCCGGCCTTCTGCGTACCTTCCTTAGAGCCCTCGCTCTCTGGGCGCTTTGTTTTGTGGCTTCCTTTTGCCCTACTGCTCCTGGCTTTCCCGTAGAGGGTCCTGGGAGCATTCCCTGGCCTTAAACGGCCCCAGGCCCATCTCATTCCAACAAGTCCCATTGGCTGACCTGGAAGCAGCAGTGTGGTCAGTGTAGGGGATGCTTAGATCCCAGCATGTCCCCCACCAAAGTGTCACTGGATGGGTGTCTCAGCCCCTCCTGCCCCACCCTATGTAGATCCTGCTCTGGGTTGGCTGAGCCCCTTGGTTGGACAACAGGAAGTAGGATGATGTTGGCTCCACCTACTTTGCTGTTCTCACATGGGATGAGACAGACGAGTTTCCACCCATCTCCAGAGAGGTCCTATTCTTGCTTCCACCTAAGGCAGACCGGTACCAACACGTCTCCCCCACCACATTCTAGGCTGTTCCTTCCAACAGCAGGGCACTAAGGAGCTAGCCTTGCCGTCCCCTCCTTTCGGTCCTCCCTCCCCCCCAAAGTTCTGGTTCCGTCTTTTCCTCTGTTCACAAACCTCTGGACGGTTGTGTTGTCTTTTCATTAATACTTAGACACCCACCACTGCTACCAGCGCCAGATGTTCATTCTCCAGATGTTGCCTGTATTCTCCCCCTCCCTCCACCCAGTACACTCTAGAGGAAGGGGGAACTGAGGCGCAGCAGGCTGGTTACCAACAACGCTACACTAAGGAAGATGGGGCCCGGCCCACGGATGCTGCATTGGAGTGAGGGGGGTCCACTTTGATGGGAAAAGGATGTAGGACCACCTCCCCTTGTTCTGTGGGGAGGAGTGGCCAGTATTTGTCCCAGTCCTGGGCTTCCCCTCTGGTTTCCTATTTGCAGTTTCTCGAAGGAAAAAAAAAAGATGAATCATATAAACTCATATTTCAAAATAACGATCATGCTTTATAAACAACAGAAATAATTCTACTACTACAGTTAATTCACAATAAAACTTATATATCTTTCAGAATATCCTCAAAAATAATTAAATATCTATGGGTAAAGCTAAGCAAGAAAGTGAATGACCTCTACGTAAAAAAATGTTAAGTCTCTGAAGAAAGAGATTGAGGTGGAAGTAAGAAAATGGGAAGACCTCTCATTCTCATAGATTGGTAGAATTGTTACTGTGAAAACGACCACCTTGCTAAATATAATTTACAGACTCAGTGCAATACCAATCAAATTTCTATGACACTGGATAGACAAAACAATTTTGTCCAAAATAAGCAGTGCTAGAACTATAATATCAGATTCCAATCTGTTACAGAATTGTAGTAATAAAACTAACGTAATAGGGCTGGAGAGATGTTCAGCAACTCAGTTCCTAACACCAACATGACACCTTTTGTAACAACAATACTAGGCCATTTGGTGCCCTTTTCAGGTCTCCACAGGCACCAGGCACACACAAACACACACACACACATACACACACACACGCACACACATGTACTATTATTATTATGCTATTTTCAAAATTATGTACATATAAATATGTGTGTATAAGTATTATAAAAGCACAAAACAGACACGTAGATCAATAAAGCAAAATGGAAAACCAAGCATGATTTGTGTGCTAATTGTCTCTATCAAATTTGCTTAAGCACTTCTAGTGTTTTGTGATTCTCAGGGACAACAATTTCAGTAGACTCGTGTTGGGGACTCTAGACCACCATCCCAGCTAACAAAAGTTGCTTAATGAATTGCCTTTATGAGAAACTGTCTCTTTTGGGAGAATCTGACCTTCAGCTAAGAAAGAATTTCCTGTTCATAGAGAACTGTTGCCCCTGGACACTCCGGGAAAAACCGCAGAATGCTCCTCCGGATGACTGACCTTATCTATGGATAGTTGATAGAGTCCCCATCCTGTTCTTTGTCCCCCTTCCTCCTTTGCCTAGAGTATATCTTGCAAGCCACTTCCACATTAAAGCAGACCTTGACAAGGCGACATTTGCTTGGTCTCATCCTTTCTCTTGCCCATGTTCCTTTTCAGGTGAGGTCCCCCTAGACCCCCACAAATAACTGGACCCGCGGGTCGGGTCAGACTCGATAGTGGTACATGTGAATAAATCATTAAGTAGGGCCTTAATGATTGTGCTAATCACATTTTGACTAGGTGCTGTTTAATTCCAGACACTCTGTCTTCTGTTATATTGCAGGCCTTAGTGCACATGTGATTGCTTTGAGATTCTTTGCTTCAGTTGAGTCAAACGTTTTGGAGGTTATAAGACATCAGATAGCTCTAGTATCTCCAGGGGGTAAAAGGCCTGACTTCTATTACTCCCTTGAAGAATGTAATTTTACAGAACCACATGCTTTGGAGTCAGCCAAAATTCTGTATAAGGTACAGCAATTCAATTATTGCTTTTTCATCTGAATGACATGTCTTAGTCAGAGAAGAGCTTCCATTGCAGTCATAGTTGCAAAATTTACTAAACTCAATATTTATGTAGGATATACACTAGAATTATAGAATGATATTTTTTTCTTTTGGAATTTGGGATGGTATCCTGAAATGTTGATAATTAGCAGTAAATTAACATGGCTGTATTTGTAAAAATATTAAAATTGATATCTTAATTTCCAAATATGTGCCAGTTAGTTCACATAAAAAAGCATGTAAAGCAAATAATGAAAGTAAATGTCACCTTAAAGTCTTAAATTTATCTTGATAATAAGTTTCTATAAAATTTAATGCAGTAGTATTTCAAAATAACCAGTTTTAGCAATTGACTCACAGTTATTAAATTTATTGTAGTTCGATATGAGTTCTATTCTCATCTTTCCCATTGTTCAGTACCTGAACTCCAGGAGGCCAGTATCTATCCTGGATGCTATTCCTGTGCATGACACAGATGAAAGCACAGTAACCCTTCTAATGTGGAAGGCCCATCGGGAAGCTATCAATATTGGATTATGTTCAGTGGACTCCAAAGTTCAGTGACATGTAAGACAACTGTTTTCTGTGATATAATCACCTGTTCATTTCACAGCTCATAGTTGCTGATGAATAAACTCTTCATCAAATTACCTAGTAGCTCTAAGGAATAGATAGATCATGGGAGGAAAATAAACATTGAGTATTTAATTTTCATTTAGAATAGGTTTTTTTTTAAACATATGCTGTTTATATTGTTCTTTAGGTAATGCTATTTTTTCAGTTTCTGAGAGAAAAATAGCCCTGGACTTTCTAATTACCATGGAGTTTTGTGAGGTCACAATATGCCCCTCACATTTTAATAGTTCAAAAGAATTCCTTGTAGGTTTCCCACACAGGCTACACAAAAATGGAGAGAATCCAGTTTTGCAAAAGGAGTTTAGCCTACAGGGAAAAGAATTTTATGCTTCAGTACAACTCTTTTTGAAGCTAAATAAAATCGCAAGAATGATGCTGAAAATAAGTAAAACCTAAATGTGTCAAAGTCACATGAGATCTGAATGCTTAACAGTTCACTCAACAGGGATCATTGTCTATCTATTACATCTTAGATAAACAGAATATGATTATAAAATTTGAAGAAGCTTAGCATTTAATTAATTTAAGCAATAAAATACCCATAAAATAATTGGCGCATATTATCACCAATGTAATACTATAAATGTTCTTAAAATTTTAAACATTTCTGAAAAGATTTAGAAGCTCCAGGATCTGAGGGTAGGAAGAAGGCTCCACTGGTGTAAGCATGTGTTGTGCAAGTCTGATAGTCTGAGTTCTAGCTCAAGATCTCATAGTAGAAGGAGAAAAACAAACTCCCCAAAATTTTCTTTAACCTTCATGTATGCGACATGGCACATTTGCATTCATAACTACTAAGTAAAATGTGAAAGAAATCACAAATGCAGATGGAAAGTAGATCATGCCAAGTAAATCCCAGGATAATTATTTTGATTATTGAAAGTTTTTCTCAATCTTCATTAGTTCTTTAATGTTTGTATAACTATTGTTTTTTTTTTTGAGGTTAATATAACTAAACCCCCCCTTTTCTCTTTTTCACATTCTTGTCCTCTTTGTTCATTAATACTGTTAAATACATACATGAAAATACATATACATATTCTAAACATGTAGGTACAATCTGTCAGTCTGAATAATGTACTTGCATACTGTCGGGACTGTCCATTTGTTATTGGATAACCATTTGTTTTG